TATTGTGTAAGATGTTGAGCTATGCCTAGTTTGTGCCATACTCTTTTCCAGTTTCCCACCAGTTTTTGTCAAACAGTGAGTTCTTATCTCAGAAGCTGGAGTCTTTGGGTTTATCAAACAGTAGATCACAACAGTCATTGACTACTGTATCTTGTGTACCTAATCTATTCCACTGATCTACTACTCTATTTCTTAGCCAGTAACAAGTAGTTTTGGTGATTGCTGCTTTATAATACAGTTTAAGATCTGATATGGCTAGGCCACCTTCCCTTGCATTTTTTTTTCATTAATTACCTTGATAGTCTGGACCTTTTGTTCTTTCGGATGAATTTTGGTACTATTTTTATAGCTCCATAAAATATTTTTGGTGGTTTGATTGGTATGGCACTGAATAAGTAAATTAATTTAAGTAGAATTGTCATTTTTATATAGCTCAGCTAACATGAGCAATTGATATTTTTCTGATTATTTAGATCTGACTTTATTTATATGAAAAATGTTTTGTAATTGTGTTCATATAGTTCCTGGGTTTGTCTTGGCAGGTAGACTCCCAAATTTATGGCATTATTTAAACAAGAGGGATTTTGGGGACAGCTCAGGCAAGTTGCTGCCTTTTCTCCACCACCTTGTCTCCCCAGATCATCTTCCCTAGACTTTTGAATGTAGGACCTGCCCCTCCCCATTTCCAGTTCAAGATAATTAAACCAACTCTGTTATTGTCCCTGTAAGGATGGTAGTTGACTCAATCAATTAATCATTCAATTTTCACTTCAAGCAACTACCTTAACCAGGTGAGAACAACTCCATAGAATCAATCTTTCAAGGACATTAGACTAAGTATGAGGATGTCTTAAAAGGTACTGGATGAAACATTCCCCAGGAAATGTGTTAATATTGGCCAACCTGAGTCAGTTGTACCCTGTGGGTCTTCTATAAAATAGCAAGGAAGCTTGAACCCAAGTATTCTAATGTCTGACAGCATAGAGGAGAGAGCCATTGTATTTTTTTATTTTTTAGCCAATTGGGGTTAAGTGACTTGCCCAGGGTCACACAGCTAGTAAGTGTCAAGTGTTTGGTCTGAGGCCGGATTTGAACTCAGGTTCTCCTGACTTCAGGGCCGGTGCTCTATCCACTGGACCACCTAGCTGCCCCGAGAGGGCCATTCTAGACAAGCTCCTAACTTGTTTAGGGGTGGCATAAAGGTTGAGTTTTGGTCTCTTCCCCTCCCCATGACCAGAGGAGGACTTCATCAGCTTTGAAAGGTCTGTCTGATTTTGAACTTATTGGTATCCTGGAAGTATCCCCAGAATAGCTGACAATGGTGTTAGGAGCAGGAGCTGAGGACAAATTAGGCACATTGAGGCAAGGTCACTTTGGGACTCTACAAGGAGCCCATGATAAAAATAAACTTCATGGCTGCTCCATGAAGGTGAGAAAGGGGCATTCAACAACCAGGTGCTGTGAGTTACCCCTTTTTGCCATCCCATATACTTCAAGCTTGAATTCCCTTTCCTCTGGATTCTCCCCGCTGGGAGATCATGTTCTGGACTTTTCGGGGGATGTTTTGTACCAACTGTTCTTACCATACTACCCTAGTAAATTTCCCTTTCTAAAAACTCATTAATCTAGCTGGTTAACTGATGTTAACTGGTAAGCATGCTAGGGAGTACACCAATGGGGGCTCATGAGTGATAGCATTAGAAAGATACTCTGCCTCTCCCTACTCCTAGCCCCTCAGGGTCACCCAGAATGTGAAAGAGACAAGTAGTGGCCCCAAACTCGAGAGTCAGCTTGCCAGTGCAAGTCAGGTTTGAGGGAGTAGCACCAAAGTTCGTTTCACTCCAAAACAAAGCAGCTTTCCCTGGGCACCACTCCCCTCTATGTGCTGTCTCCCACTCCCCCTCCATTTAGATTGGAATTTAGCCCTCTTGAGGGTAAGGGCCGTTTCTGTTTTTGTATTTACAGCATTCCCAGAGCTTAGCCCAACAGCATATTGCTGTTCACTCATTTCAGTCACGTCTGACTCTTCATGACCCCACTTGGGGTTTTCATGGTAAAGATACTGGAACAGTTGCCATTTCCTTCTCCAGCTCATTTTACAGATGAGGAAACTGAGGCAAATGGGGTAAGTGACTTGCTCAAGGTCACACAACTAGTATAATGTCTGAGGCCAGATTTGAACTCAAGTCTTCCTGACTTCGGGCTTGGAGCTCTAGCCACTGCACTATCTACTTGCCCTTGACACATGTTACATTTATTCCTCCATTCACTGGGCAGGACAAGGAGAGATATATTCAGAAAGGTAGATAATGTAAAAGCAAATGATACTGATAACAATTTTAATTAATAATAATTTCAAATATATATGTATATGGCATGTGATAGGATGCAGATGTGTGTATACACACATATAGACATGCCATATATACGTGTGTGTGTGTGTGTGTGTGCGCGCGCGCGTGTGTCTGTAAAATGTATCCTGGACTAAGCCTTGGGAAGAACTTCAGAGGCTGTTTTGGTCCGATTTCTCATTTTAAGGATGAAGAAGCTGTGGCCCCAGGAGTCTTGCTCCAGCCCTCAGGCAGTGAGCATCAGACAAAGGAATGGAACCCAAGTTTTAGCTCCCTGCACCACCCTTTATATTTTCTGTGCTTACAAGTCTGTTTCTGTTGCTTTCGCTCTGTATTATCCCTTATAGATCAATGCATATTTCCTTGTGTGTATTGTATTTGTTCCCCCCTTTTTTTTACAGTACCATAATATCCCCTTACATTAATATACCATAATTTATTCTGCCATTCTCCAGCTCTCAGACACGAGAGCAGTTTCCAGCTTTTCTTATTACCGATGGAGCAGCTATGAATAATTTTGTGCAGACGGGTCCCTTTTTTCCCTTTTCATGATACTTTTCAGATAAAGTCCTAGTAGTGAAATCTCTGGGTCAAAAGGTATGATCAATTTCATTACTCTAGAGTGGTCATTGTGGATAGATTTCTACATTTGCACTGAGCTCAGAATTTCTCTGATAATCCATGTCCTTGCCAGTCCCCATTAAATCTCTCTCTGTTTCTCTGTCTCTCTCTCTCTGCCTCTGCCTCTGCCTCTCCGTCTCTCTCTGTCTCTGTCTCTTTCTCTCCCTCTCTCCCTCTCTCTGTCTCTTTCTCTCCCTCTTTCCCTCTCTCTGTCTCTCTCTCTCTCTGTCTCTCTCTGCCTCTCTCCTCTCTCTGCATCTCTCTCTCTCTCTCCGTCTCTCTCTGTCTCTCTGTCCCTCTGTTCCTCTCTCTCTGTCTCTCTGTCTCTCCTCTTGTATTTCTTCAGTGGGCTCAGCCTGCTAGACTGAGGATCATCCTGAGAGATATGACCCTTAACTGGCACAGCTCTGATTAACAGCCTGCTCTCTCCCCTCCCCACACCCAAGACATTCCCGTTCAATGCCTTTGTTTCTGCTCCCCCCCCCATCCTCTGCCTGTAGTGTGGCGCCACATCTCTCTGCTTCCCCTTTCGCCCCCTCCCCTCTACACCATTTTGGGGAAGCCCAGCGCACCACCGGAGACCCTGCTGCTCCCTCCCACATGCTCCCCCAGGCTGACGGTGGATGTCACACGTTTTACTCCTGAATGTCATCCAGTCATCCTGCAAGTGAGGCTTGTTTTAGAGCTGATGCACTAATCCTCTCCTCCTCCCCCGATGCTTCAATGGTTCCCTGCTGTGACCAATTCAAGTGCCTACCTCTGGCAAATAAGAGCTTATTAAATGATCGTTACTTCTTTCATCTATTCCTTATTGTAACTTCCAAAGCTCCCCTCTTCAGCCCCTGAGGGTAGGGAAGAGGATGAGTATTTATATAATGCCTACTACGTGCCAGGCCTGTGCTAAGCACTCTGCAAATATCATCTGATCTGATACAACAACCCTGAGAGTCCGATGCTGTTGTCATTCCCATTTTACAGATGAGGAAACTGAGGCAAACCGTGAATAAGCCACATAACCAAAAAAGTGTCCAAAGAAGAATTTGGACTCAGGTCTTTCTGGCTCTAGGTCCAACTGTTCTATCTACTTTGCCACCTGGCTGCCTCGTTCAGGCAGTCGATCAGTTTTTATGAAGCATCTATCACCTTCTGGGCACTGGGGGATGCAAAGACAGAAAGGAAACAGCCCCTGACTTCTACAGGCTACCAGTACCTTCCTTGACTTAGCATTTCTTCTGATATGATACTTTTCCATGCTCCAGCTGAACTGGAATCCCCCCTTACCCCCAACGTGGCCTGTACTTTCTAACCTCCACACCTGTGCTCATGCTGTCCTTATACCAACCATGCCTTCCTTCCCTCTCTTTTCACAATGAGTTCCAACCTACCCTTGAATGTTCAGCTCAAATGCCACCTTTTCCAGGAAGCCTTCCCTGAGCACACTGTCACTAGTAATAATGCAGCCCTCATGCAATGCTGCTCCCTCCCCACACCCCAAGATGCAGCCACAGGTGATGATGGTGATAATGTGATTCCATTGATTTATCGAATTCCTAATGAGGAAACTCCATCTCTCCAGGTGGGTGTCCGCATTTTTGCTGCATCTTAGCCTTAGAGAGGGGTCTTGGGCACTGAGATGTCAAAGGATTCAGCTACAGGCACACAGTCAATATTTGTCAAAGGTTGGACCTGAACTCAGGTCTTTCAGTTTGAAGCCAGCTCTCCCTTCACCATAACAAATTGCTTCAGATTTATGACAATAACAGTAACTGACATTTACAGAATTCTTTGTTTTTACTAAGGACTTTCCCCACAACAACCCTGGAGAGGGGTGTGGTGTGCTAGAAAGAACTTGGAATTTGGCATCACAAACCTGGATGCGAATCCTAACCCTGCACCCTTGGGTAAAGTCCCTTTCCCTCTCTCTAAGTCACTCCTTCCTCATCTGTAGAATGAGGGCATCTGACCCTTGGCTTCTCTGGTCCTTACCAGCTCTAAATCCTACCTTTCATTATTCTACCCATTTTACAGACAAAGAAACTGAATCTCAGAGAAGAGAAGAGGCCTGGCCTGGGTCAGGATGCTGCAGCATCAGGGCTGGGATGCAGCCCAGGACGCAGAGCTCCTCCTTCCTCTCCAACCCGCACGGTCCCTGCCAGGCCTCCTGCCCATGGCCACACGGCTGCCTGTGCCCAGCCTGGCCCTGAGCCCAGCTGGAGTTGGTGAACACAGCTCCCCAAGTGCTCATAGCCCCGCCTGACTAATGGGTGCTGATCACTTCCATACGGCGGAGGCGGAGCCATGGCCCAGAGTGCTCACAGTGGCAGGTGCGCCAGAGCCAGAGAGGCGGGCCACAACTGGAAGCCAGGAGGTCCCCGGGCTTCTATCTCGCTCTGGCAGCCGCCAGAGAGGGATGAGCCAAGACACAGGCCAGGCCATTTGCAGATAGAACCAGGCAGGGGAGAGAACCCAGCCTGGAGTCTGTTCCTGACTTGGTACTAACTAGCTGTGGGCAAGGCCCTTCCATCCCTTCCCTGGGCCTCAGTTTCCCTCTCTGTAAATAAATGTGTGTGAGGGGGTGGGTAGACTAGAGGGCCAGTAAAGTTCCACCCAGTTTAGGTGGTCTAATGTTTTAAACCCCCTCCCAGCCCTGACATTCTCTGTTCTAAGGGCCCTCCCAGCCCTGACATTCCCTGTTCCAAAACCCCTCCCAGCCCTGACATTCTCTGTTTTAAGGCCCCTCCCAGCCCTGACATTCCCTGTTCCAAAGCCCCTCCCAGCCCTGACATCCCCTGTTCTAGATCCCCTCCCAGCCCTGACATCCCCTGTTCTAGATCCCCTCCCAGCCCTGACATTCCCTGTTCTAAGGCCCCTCCCAGCCCTGACATTCCCTGTTCTCAGGCCCCTCCCAGCCCTGACATCCCCTGTTATGAGGCCCCTCCCAGCCCTGACATTCCCTGTTCTCAGGCCCCTCCCAGCCCTGACATTCCCTGTTCTAAGGCTCCTCCCAGCCCTGACATCCCCTGTTCTGAGGCCCCTCCCAGCTCTTACATTCCCTGTTGCAAAGCCCCTCCCAGCCCTGACATTCCCTGTTCTAGATCCCCTCCCAGCCCTGACATCCCCTGTTATGAGGCCCCTCCCAGCCCTGACATTCCCTGTTCTCAGGCCCCCTCCCAGCCCTGACATTCCCTGTTCTAAGGCCCCTCCCAGCCCTGACATCCCCTGTTCTCAGGCCCCTCCCAGCTCTTACATTCCCTGTTCCAAAGCCCCTCCCAGCCCTGACATCCTCTGTTCTCAGGCCCCCTCCCAGCCCTGACATCCCCTGTTCTAAGGCCCCTCCCAGCCCTGACATTCCCTGTTCTCAGGCCCCTCCCAGCCCTGACATCCCCTGTTCTCAGGCCCCTCCCAGCCCTGACATCCCCTGTTCTCAGGCTCCCTCCCAGCCCTGACATCCCCTGTTCTCAGGCCCCTCCCAGCCCTGACATCCCCTGTTCTGAGGCCCCTCCCAGCTCTGACATTCCATGTTCCAAAGCCCCTCCCAGCCCTGACATCCCCTGTTCTAGATCCCCTCCCAGCCCTGACATCCCCTGTTCTAGATCCCCTCCCAGCCCTGACATCCCCTGTTCTAATCCCCTGCCCCACTCTGACATTTTTCTTTTAGTGTAACTCAACAAGATTTAAAGACAATCTGGACAATTACCAAGTCATGCTCTGTATTACAGATTTCTTTATGTGTGTCTTATTTTCCCCCTAGACTATAAGCTTCATGAGGGCAGGGGATACATTTTATCCAGAGTCTGGAAGCCCAGGTACACAGTAGGTAACTCTGAGAGGGACCTCAGAAGTTATCTAGTCCAAGCTCCTCATTTTACAGATGGGGAAACTGAGGCCCAGTGGGACCAAGAGACTTGTCCAAGGTTACCCAGATGTAAGATTCAGAGGTTGATGTGAAGCCCAACACTCTGACCCCAGCCCCAATCTTCTTTGCATTGTTCCCATGCAGCAGAGGCCACAGCAGATGAGAGCCAAGGGCCAGGTTCTAAGTCTAGGTCTAGAACGGGGGGGGGGTGCATCGTCATGTGGTGGCCTCCCAAGGCCACTCAAGGCTCCATCTGGCATCCCTACCCTCCAGGGGGTGGCCTAGGATTAGACGACAACCCAGAACAAATCTCTTTCCCTCTCCCCACTGGATTTCCTCGGGAGCCCCTGGGAATGGGGTGGGAGTCCTTCCTCTTCATTGCCCCTGGCCCCATCTCTCTCTGTTCTAGGCAGTCAGCCTCCCCTGCCCCCAGTGGACCCATTTGTCTCTCCTCAGGTGACTGAGTTTCCTCTACTCCCTCATACTCTTGTGTCCAAGGCAACCCCACCCCTACCCCCACCCCAGTGGGCAGGAGGCAATCTAGGTTCATCTGCGCAGGCCCCCAGGCAAAGGCCTGCACACAGTAGGCACTTTCTAAACGTTTACTTTGTGAAATTGAGTCATGGAATATTCATTGGTTGGGCCAAGCTCCCAAGGAGAATGGGGTCAGCTGCCCAAGCAGCTTCCAGCACAAATATGCATTTTGGAAATGAAACTTTTCCACATCCTTGGTTTTCTGTCAGTTAACAAATTGCAGGGTAGAGTGGAATTCATGGGTTTGTCCTCCACGGGGAAGAGGGAGGGAAGATCGGTCCCTACTGACCCCAAGGCCCAGGTGGGGCTGCAGGCTTCAGGGAGAGACTCCCAGCCTCCAGCCTCCTTGGGGCCTCCTCCCTGCAAGTTTGGGACTTCAATGCCTAAATCACAAGTTTGGCCCAGTGACGGTGGGAGCCAGTAACTTTAGAGAGAGAGGTCAGTACATTGAGAGAGAGCGAGAGCGAGAGCGAGAGAGAGAGAGAGAGAGAGAGAGAGAGAGAGAGAGAGAGAGAGAGAGAGAGAGAGAGGATGAGCTCTGCTTTGCATTTATATGAGAAGTAACACTGTCCATTCTCCAAGAGGAGCAATTCTTTCTGTTCTGGCCAGAAATTTAAAATCAATCTGGGAGGGGAAGAAAGAATGAATTATTTGAAGGCAGTAATCATGCCCCATCCCCCTTCAGATCTCTCCTACAGGCTGGACTTCTGCTCCTCCTGTGCCCTGGGCTCTGGTCTCCTCCACACCCTGGCTGCCCTCTTCTGGATGGGCTCCAGCTTGTTACCATCTTATTCAATGGCATCTGGTCCAAGCCCAAGTGCAAAGGTGGGAGGCTCAAACTTTGTTGTCTGATGGAACTGGTTGTCGAAATGGGGCCCTGGAAATATATGTCTGTTCAGTCCCAGAAGCCCTGCTGGCACCCGGACCTTCCCTAGACAGCATTCTGGAGCACTAGTTTGCCTTCTTTTCCTCTGCCTGATGCTTCTCTCAGCTCTGATACTCCCCGGCTGTGTGACCCTCCCCTTCTCTGAACCTCTACTTCCTCATCTGTAAAATGGGTCCATAAGCCTGGCATTCACAGTTTGAGGGAAGTCCTGAGTAAACCTTAAAGAACTAGAGAGAAGGGAGCAATGTCTATCCCTGCGATGCTCCATCGGAGTGGTCCTTTCGCTGGTGCGGGTGACATCCCCTCCGTTCCTTTTCTTACTGTGTGGCTCTTAGGCGCATCCTCCCCCGAGGCTCACTCAGGAATTGCCTCTTCCATGAGGCCTCTCCTCCTTCTCCCTGTTACTCGTCTGTGACCTGCCCTTCCCCCAATAGAATATAAGCTCCTGAGGGCAAAGGCATTTCACTTTTGTCTCTGCATCTTCCATGCCCTGCAAGGCACCTGGCACAGAAGAACGTTTGTGGAATGAATGAATGAGTGAATCCTACAAAAGCAATTGACCAACACATTGGAGACCATTCAGGTCTGAAGTCGATCTCTTGGAAAGAGACCAGATTTGGCCTGTTTGGCCCCAAGGGGTGTGACCAGGAGCTATGGGGGCAGGTTACAAAGAAGCCGCTTTAGGCTTGAAGTCAGGGAAGACTTCCTGGCAATGAGACCCAACTCACGGGGAAGGGGTTGCCTTGGCAGAGGGAGGGTGGACTGCAACGTCACTGGACGGCTTCAAACAGAAGCTGGCTGTCCCTTTGTCAGCTATGGTGGAGGGGGGCTCTCATATGGAGGCAGAGAGGCCAAATGGAGGGGGCCACCTAGGGTGGTGTAGGGACTCCCCATCCCTGGACTTCCATTTGCCAGGTTATTGTAGGAAGGCTTCCTTTCACCTATGGATTGGACTCAGTGGACAGCTTTTGTGGTCTGTGATTCTGTGGGGAGGGATCTGGCCTGGCCAGGCAGCACAGAGCAGGGCAGAGGGAGAGGGCAGGGGCAGAGGGCAAGGGGAGAGCATTCCTGAAAGGTTTGACAATTATTCTCTCATTTGATGGGAGAGGTGCTATTATTATTTCTCCCATTTTACAGATGAGGGAACTGAGTCAAACAGAGGTTAGGTGACTTGCTCAGGGTCACTTCGCTAAGGCATCTGAGCTAAGGTCTGCCTCGCTGCAGGCACAGTGGTCTATCCGCCACAGAATGAGTGGAAGTGCCGGGGCCCAGGGAGCAAGCAACGTGGTGTCTGGTGCGCCCCCAGGGATGGAGAGATGCGTGATGCCTCTGCCAGTCAGGCAGCTTGTGGAGAGAAACCCAAGTGCCCAGGGGACAGCGGCCAACAGGGGAGGTCAAGAGTGGAGGCTGATTAAGGTTTCATTGATGGGCAGCGAGCAGGCCATGAATATGCACTGTGTGACCCGCTCTCTGAGATGAGGGCAGACAGCTGAGAGCCAGAAAGCCGCCTGGGGGGTGGGGCCGCCTCAGCTGAGGGGGCGACTCGCTCTCCTTTTGGGGAGGCAGCCTGGTGTCAGAAGCAGAGACCGAGCTTGAAGCCTGTCCCACCCATGGGGCCATCCAGCTCAGCCTGACCAAGAATGCACTCCCTGTAGTGGGGGAGCAGCCGGCCTTTCTTTGCTAGAATATCTCTAGTGATGGGCAGCTCATTTCCTGCCAGGGCTACCTAACCCACTCCGGAAAGTTTTCCCCATAGCAAGCCTAAGGCTACCTCTTTGCAACTTCCTGTCCTACAGACCACTGGAACCAAGCAGGCCCCTCCTCCCCACCACAGTCCTTCCCGTTCTTGAAGCCGTCATCTTGCCCTGGCTCAGTGTTCTGTCAG